ATCCAGAGAAGCCAAATCTAAACCAGACTGTCCTCCTTGCCCTCGAAGCTCCAAGCTACTTGGCTTCTCCCTCATCGTGCTATTATGTGACCCTAGGAAGTCCTTTTTTACTTACAGCAAAGGTTTATTATAAAGTCATTTAACAGTGCCTGATATGGTTCAGATATTTCAAGTCTGTGCCATGTTTCACTAAACTACAGCCTTGTAAATCTGCAATTATAATATCTTTGGGCTGTTGTTTTTAATGAATTCCTTTAAATTGTAGCATTAAACCACAGATATCATGTTTCCAAGTTGGACCTATGCCAAGCTGGAAGAGACATCCACTCAAGACAGGGAGATGAAGGAGGACAAGGTGTTCAGTGACCTGGTGGACTCAGTCCAGTCACTTGAACCTCAGGCTCTGTACCCCAAACCTAGAACCTCCAAATGCGTAGGGCTTAGAGGAGGTGGGGGGTGAGGGAAAACTGCTACACCCATACTTACACTTGAAGGAAGGTGGTTTTGTTTTCTTTCTGGGTTGTTTCTTTTTCTCCTCCTTGGCGTGCAGCAGATTGCCCATGTTAAGCACCTGCTGTCACTGTACCACTGAGCTACAGTCCCAGCCCATGGGTGGTTTTTAAAAGCAGAAACTCCTTTAAGTTTTTCATCACAACTTTTATGGCACTAATTTAAATAAGTACATTGTCAATAGCATTTAAAAGTTGGTCATATAATTAGTAAATCTCTGAGTTTCAACTCTTCATTGAGATTAAATGATCATAAAGCAAGACTGCAATGGCCTGTTTTTCTTTGATTGAACAGGCATTACTCTGATAAAGTTCATCTCTTTCAGAGCAATCAAATTATATAATTTGATTATATAAAAACTATTAGTGTTTAATTAGCCCTTTGAATATTTACTTTTGACAATTTGATTAGTTTTTAAAAAATATTAAACTTTCTAAATATTTATTCACACTGTAATTTATTAAGACCTATAAACTATGGCCTATGCGTTAGTGTAAGAAAGAGATAGTCTTTACCTTAACATTTCTCAGTTTTTTAATCAATTGCATGTCTTTTTTGTTTTGTTTTGTTTTGGTTGTTTTTGAGACAGGGTCTCACCATGTAACCCAGGCTGGCCTTGAATTCCTGACCTTCCTGCTCAGCCTCCAAGTGCTGGGATTACAGGAGGGCTCCACCATGCCCAGCTTCCTTGTGACTTTTTTAGTATTTTTTTGAGGGTGGGGGTGGTATCTAGATTTGAATTCAGAGCCTCACACTTATACCACCTGAGCCACTCTGCCAGCCCTGTTATACCTTTTTTGATAGCTACCTTTCTTTTAGGCAGTAGTAGAAATAAATGCTTTTTTAAAATTTAGCTTGTACTAAAATATGTAATGAACGATTCTTCTCAAAACCTATCAAATCTGAAGATCAAAATTATTTTATTAAAAATCTCTGTAGTTTTTATACAGAGATGCTCACAGAAGTTTGTTTTTAGTAGTAAAAGTTCAAAAACATCCTAAATCTATAAAAATCAGAGTAATTAATTAAATTATGATATCCCATTCAGAAGAGCAACCATTAAAATTAAACTTTAAACATTAAATTTAAACCATTAAAATTACCCAGATGTTAAAGCATACATGAGCAGGACACAGAATTATGTATATATACCACAAACAAATCTATAGGCTTTTTAAATTAAACACGCATACATAAAATCAAAGTCTGCAAGGAAAATATCCAACATTAATGGCAGCTATTTGACAGGCAATAGGCTTGTCATGTTTTTTATCTTTTTATGTAGTTTACACTTTTTTTAGTTTTTTCTGTGATCATAAGTTATTGTAATAATTGAGATGCATATGTGTTTGTATAATGCAGTTTTAAAGTTTTAATGTAATCATTTTAATACTTCAGCTGTTTAGAGTTTAGCTATTTTAAAAATCAGGAAGTTAAAAAAAACCTTGAAGTTAAAAAAAAAAAATCAATTCTGAACAGCCAAAATTAATACTGCAAAATTCACAAAATAAAGCATATATGGACACAGCAAACTAGCAGCAGGATTTTTTTTTTTTTTTTTTTTTTTTTGAGCTAGGTTCTCATTGGGCTGACCTGGACCACAACCCTCCTGTTTACAGCTCCTTGTTTACAGTGATTGTGCCACTAGTTGAGATAGGACACTCTTGAACTTTTTGCCCAGGCTGGCCTTGAACACAATCCTTCCAGTCTCCGTCTGAGTAGCTGGGATTACAGGTATGAGCCACCACACCCAGCTTCATTTTCTTACCATTCTTAAGAAAATGTTTTACTAATAATTTTCCAGCTTGTGTGAAAATCCAAGGTCTCCCGAGAAGAATGTCACAAAATCCTGGTGTCAGAAAACCCCAAAGTCTTTACCTCTCTAAGCCTTAGAATCCATCCATGAGAAGAGGAGCAATGGGGACTGGAGGCGTGGCTCAAGCAGTAGAGCACCTGCTTTGCAAGCATGAAACACTGAGTTCAAACCCCAGTCCCACCAAAAAAAAAAAGCAATGTACCAGGCTTAGGTAGAGTTTGTGGGTATGTGAGAGTCGGTTGAATCTGAATACAAAGCTCCTGTGTGGAACACAATATGTAGCGTAGGCTCTGGAGTCAGACTGAGTCTCACTCAGTTGGGGTCTTCAGCTGGAACCACCCACCCACGTCTGCCTTTTTCACAGGGTGGATGCTAGGGTTCCAAGTGTGCAGAGTGCCTTCCAGAGTGCTAAGAACACTACTAATACTCTGGAAAATGCTAGTGTCCTTCCCATTGTAGTTGGTGAGACAGATGTCACATTTTATTACCTGTCTGTCTTGCAGAGGTGAAGCGTGCTTTCAGGGAGTCTAAAAGTCAGTGAGGGTTACAAAAGCCCCTGTTCCTCCTGTGTTGTAAGCCCTGCTAGGGGCGCCCAGCCTGTTCCCAGCGCCTGCCTTTTTTCAGCCCACGGTGAAGCTAAGCAGAGAGCAGAGCAGGGTGGTAAGGGCATCAGGGCCTTGATCTGCCACAGCCAGAAGTGGTGAAGCACCTCGCCTCTGGCTGCATCCCAGCAGCCTCCTTCAGGGCTCCAAGCTCTCCACCTGGGGTCTTCAGAGTCCCCCTGGTCTGGTGCGTTACTGAAAGGACACGCAGCCAGGGATGCTGCTGATGTGCTGTTTCAGTTCACCCGCCTAGTCAGCCTGTGATCATTTAGAGAAGGAAGGACGCGGTCAGCGACAACAAGGTTGGCCCAAACATGCCGCGTACCCAATTACTGTGAAAACCTAGATTAAGACCAACAGATTTTGTTGACTTTTGTTCTGTTTTTCTTGACAACTAAAAACAGTAATTTACTAGTCTACTTGCCCAGGTCGATATGCACCCCAGGGACCACCCTTAGTTATGAAATCTCTCTTGGCACCAGTATTTATAGCCAAGCAGGAAGGTCTGACAGGCCATGGGAGGGAACCTGTGGGTGCCTTTTCTCAAGGACAATGACCCTTGCTGGATGTCTGAGTCCTCAGGTTTTCAGCATCAGAAAAACGTGAGGGAAGAGGGAACAGTAAGTGAGATAGTTCCACAGCTGTGGCTATGGTTACAGGTAGAAGTGACCCTACGTCCCTTCTTTGTTAGGGAACTTGCTGAAGTTATAATTTGAAAATGTGTTGTTGGAATAATTATAATTATCTTTCATCCACAGGACTAGAAGCTCCTGGGAGGCAGGGCCTTTCTTGCAGTTGTGTTGTTGTCGTTGTTGTTGTTGTTGTTTGGGGTTTTTTGGAGGGTGGGTACTGGGGTTTGAACTCAGGGCCTTTTGCTTGGCGAGGCAAATGCTCTGCCACTTGAGACAGGCCCCCAGTCCTTTCTTATAAATTTTTTTTAAACTTTTTTGCAAATAGAGGCAAGGCAAGTCCCACCTCTCCTCCTGCCTGCTGGTAGCCTGTTCACAATCACTTAACTTCTCCATGTGTTTGCTCACCTGAAAACACAGTCAAATGGTTCTTGTGCCTCCCCGCCTCTCTCCCAGTCTGTTGCTATAGTTGTATTGAAGCTAATTTCATCTGCAAATAATAACTTTTAGAACTATGACCAGCACTCCAGGTGGCTTATCTAGCACAGTATATAACATAACATCATTTCCAAGGTCTGCATTCTCTATTTCCATTAAGTGATTATTATTTATTATTTCAGACTTAAGTGTATGAACGCATGCCCTGCTCTCTTGACAGGGGTTTTGTAAGCAAAATGATGTATGTGAAATGACTTCACAGACTATAAGGCTTTGTATAGCTGTATGGTGATTATTATTGCTGGCTCAACGAGTTCCTCCTGAAAAGTAACTCAGGCTGTAAAGAAGGCACTGAAGACTATTGTGAAGCAGGATGTGCAGCTAGCCTTGGAAAAGAGAAGGCATTTCCCAAGCTAGCTTTTCATTAAAAAGCAAAAAAGAATCTCCTGATTCTCTCTGTGCCAGTTTGCTAATGCAGGGCAATTAGCATTTGGGTGTCGGAAGGGCTGCTGATCATCAAGTCACGATCGCGGGTTTTCGTCTGGCCTGTCCCTGCCTCACTGAGTTATCGTAGACAAGTTATTTAACCTGTCTGCCAAATGCAGATGACTGCTTTTGAAGATGAAGTAAGGATTGATAGCTCTTCAGGCATCTATGAAGTTATATGCATCCTCCACATGTTTTTCTTTCCAGAGCCAGTCTGTCCGTTCTTTGAGCTCTTCCCCATATGATGTGGTTTCTGTCCCCCGTCCTACTGTGGGCACTCTTTTCTCCTAAATGGATTGAATGCAGCTGTAGCCTTCTTAAAGGAGGCGCCCAAAGTTGGGCCCAGCATGCTTGTTGATTCCTGCATTCCAACACTATAATAAATGCTGTCTACAATTGGTTATGATCTAGTTTTATTATTGCAAACCTAAAATAATGTGATTGCCTATCTCTGGACCCAGAAGGCTTAAGGTGAATTCTGAAGCAGAAAGTAACTTGTCATTTTTGTTTGTCTTCTAGCGACAGACATCACACCTCCAGTGCAATCCCTGTTCCAAAGAGACAAAGCTCCATATTTGGGGGTGCAGCTGTGGGCTACTCTGGGGGGATTCCTTCCCCAGACAAAGGACACCGAAAACGGGCCAGCTCAGAGAATGAGAGACTCCAGTACAAAACCCCTCCTCCCAGTTACAACTCAGCGTTAGCACAGCCTGTGCGCACCATCCCTTCAGTGGGAGAATCTGAGAGAAAGACGGCATCTCTGTCCTCTTCCTTGGACACCTCCTTGGACTTTTCCAAAGAAAATAAGAAAAAAGGGGTGGATTTGGGTGACACCTTAAACCAGGGCCATGTGAGTATGGACACTAGCCAAGAACAAAGAGAAGCCCTCTCTGGGCACCCAGCCACAGTAAATGGCACACTGCTGCCTGGCGAACAGGCTGGCCCCACCAGTGCCCAGCTTTCAGGCGAGTTCCACTCGGCCCCAGGGGCTGAGCTCTGCTGTGCCGTGGAGCAAGCAGAGGAAATCATCGGGCTGGAAGCCACAGGTCTCACCTCAGGCGATCAGCTAGAAGCGTTTAACTGTATCCCGGTGGACAGTGCAGTGGCAGTGGAGTGTGATGAGCAAGTGCTGGGGGAGTTTGAAGAGTTCTCCCGAAGGATCTATGCACTGAATGAAAACGTGTCCAGCTTCCGCCGGCCACGCAGAAGTTCTGATAAGTGAAGTGAGCAGACAGACAGGAGGACCAGGGCAGAATCACTGCCTCAATGACGATAAAGCTGCACTTACCCTTTTTAATAATTATGCCACAAAAATGAATATTAATGGAGGATATTCCTCAGAAAAACCAACTTTGGGAACAGAGGAGGGACTCAGGATCATTGTGTCTCGCAGGCCAGACCAAGTCAAGTTTTGCTTTCAAGATTTGCTCTTCAGGCCTGATGATTGTTTTACGGCAAAAGTCACTCTCTAGTTGAAAGAGCTTATAGCTCAAGTCACCTTATGGGTATCGTCTGCTTTTTATTTACACATCTATGTTATCCTGAGAGGGAAAATGATAATATATAAGTAATATAATGAACTCACTTTAGTTTCTCATAAGCATTTGCCGTCACCATAGTTTATAAAACTTTGGGAAGATGGAATGTTCGAAAATAGCTTTCCACTGTTTTCTAAAGGGTCTGCAGCACCCACCAGTTTGATGAATGAGACGCATAGTAGTCTCGTTATTCCCAGGCCCCTTCACCCCACCCTTGCCTCCACATGGCACGGTACCCACGGACCCACTGTGGCCCTGTCTTCAGGCTTGTGCCTCCTGAAGACCAAGGGCACCAGATTCACTAGTCTAAAACTAGCAGTCATGCCCTTCCATCTCTTCTAATCAATGATCTTCCATCCCCACACCGCCATTCCCTTGATGTAGTCCTCGGATTAGATGAAAAACCTACCTTTGGTGGATCCATGAGACCCTCAAGGACCCCGGGGTTACCACAGTCAGACGGCATCCACTTCCCTTTGGGGCCCAAAGTTTTACATGATCAAAAATTAGGCATGCTTTCTGGCAATACATTCACCAAAAAACCCTAGATGTAAATCCCATGTTAATTTATTAAATTTCAGTCTGAAGGAAGACAACGTATATGACAAAATACAGGTAGAGAGTCGGGCTGTCCAGTATGCAAGCTGCAAGGCAGTTGAGCTGTGTGGATTAAGAGACTAGATTAAGCATGGAATATTATTGGTGTGTGTGCAATTCCATAAGTATTAAATTATGTTTTTGAAGTCCAATTGTCATTCCTGCGTTCAGATTTCATTTGCTATTGCTTTATACGTTATGTACCCAAGGACATTGCCTCAGGGTTGCAAGCTCTTTAAGGAAAATTTATCCATATATCCATGTATTGTATAGAAGAATAAAAATTGAATTTACTTCACTTGGCCTGATTTTTTTTCCCAGCTTTGCAATTCGTCTTAATCCTGCATCTCTTTGTATCACATCATGGTGGGGCTAGCCTGGACAAAAGCCCTGGCTGAGTCTAAGCTGATGCTGCTGAGTTGTATGAGGTTACATACTATGTATAGCAATGCATACTTCACAGGTGTGCTCCCTGGTAGCTGCATTTTGCCTAGCAACCTAACTCACGGGTCTCGTAATCATGCTCGTGTTATGTCCGGGCATTCCTGGACTGAACTTTAACAGATAGCTTTACTGTTAAAAGCTGTTATTTCCTGTAGAGCGCTCACAGAACCACTGCATAGCAGACAGACCCAACTCTCATGCCATTGGAAGTTTTAACTTGGTCCAAGGAAATCCATCTTATCCCACGGGAAGAGGGGAGTCCACCTCAGACCTGGAGCAGTGGCCAGCTGGAGCAGGAGTTTCTCTGCAGGGTACTGTCATTCATTTTAGGTCAAAGAGGGTAGAGAGAGAGATACCATCCTGGATATAAACATCATGCCATGGGATCCTCCAGGGAAGTGACATCTACAAAAGAAAAGGGCATTGAAGGTCATTGTTAGTACTGAAGAATGGAAAGTGAATCCCATGTGACCTGTGATTTCCCCAGAAGTGGGGGTGGGCTTTAAACTTCATGCAAACTCTAGGTGCATGCAATTGCAGGCCCTCCAGCCTGGCTCTGGCACCACCAAACACTGGGGCCACGTACGGAGCACTCCTGGCCACAGTGTTCATCTCAGGTTTCGCATAACTGGATAGAACCCAGAGCTCTGGGTGCCCTCCATCTTCTCTGCTTTATAGAGTCCTGGATTCTGGGCTTCCTGGTGTTTTCCTTCCATGGCAGCATGGAGTCCTGCTCTTGATAATGCAATCAGATTGTTAAGAACCAATCAGAAGTTACCCACCCTATCCACTGGCACATGGATTGAAATGCCATTTAGGTTTGGGTTTACGTAATTTGGGTTGGGGTTTTCATTTGCGTTTGTTTGATTGCCATGACCTGGGTAGAACCTTCAGTATTACATGCTTCCAAAAGCTTCAGAATTCATTTGCAAAGCCCAAATACAGTATGATCTATCACCCACTAATCTTTGTAATTAATCTTGGAAGTCACTAGAACAATAAAATTTGCTTGGAAGGTACAAGTTGAAATGGAAACTCATTACTATCCATTTCTGAGCTGCTCAGGGCCCTTTCAGTTTTCATACGAATGAGACTCTTAACCAGCAAATATCATCAAATGAATATTTGATTGCATTTTCTCTCTCCACTTCCTCTTAACCACTGTAGAAATTCCAGAGATTTTTTTTTCCTTCAGAATATTAGTTTTGAAAGATTGTACCTAGCTATATTTTGTTAGCAGTTCCAATAGTGCCCATTTTTCCTGACCTAACTGGTTATTTAAATAATTTTTTAAACCACCACCAATAATAAATGCCATGTGAAACTGCTCTTTTGGTAATTGGAAGAAAACTTAGCATCTATATTTATAAAATAAAATTGATTAGTATTTATTTTGAGAGTTAAACATGTATGTTACTTCCCTGCTATGTTTGAGTCCTGTCTTCATTGTTTTGAATTTCAGACTGAAGCTGGGTTAAGTATAAAAACCTTGCTCTTAAACAGCCAGCCATTCAGCATTTACAGAGCACGCATGCGTGCATGCGCGTGTGGGATTCAGCTAAACAAAGTTAACACAGAGATTACCAAGCCTTGACCTCGCCATGTTCTCTAGTAATTGTATTAGCAATTAGTTGCAAGTCAATGTGACAGTTCTTTGGTGGAGATGTATTTCATGCTGTGGAGTTCAGAGAAAGCTGTTCAGTCTGACTCAAGGATCAGGAAAAATTCATGGAGGTTGTGTGGGTGAAAGATGGGTAAGAGCACCCATTATAGATGGGAGATCAGCATGGACAAAGGCCCAGAGGCAAGGCAAGACTCGACTGTGTGTGTGTGTGTGTGTGTGAAGGACTTACTAAGGCAGTGAGCCACCACTAAATACCTTTTCCACACTTAAAGCTGAAAGGCAGGGCTGGAAGCATGGCTCCAGTGGTCTGGTGCTTGCCTCGTAAGTGTGAGGACCTGAGTTCAAACCCTAGTATTGCTAAAAAAAAAAAAAAAAAAAAAACAGCTTGGTTAGATCTAAGTCAAGAGATCAAGACTAGCAGTCAGTTCAGGCGGACGCCAGTGGTAACTTGCCTGAGTCTGGTTACTCTTCTTTTTGGGAGCAAAATCTGTGCGTGTAAAAGAAGCACCCTGAGTTGTCAGGGCATGAGTGGAGTAAAGCTGTGCCTTACTGTGGGCCACAGCACAGCAGCCTCTCTTTAAGCTAGTTCTAAATGTCCGTGGCAACCAGTCACCTCTATGACTCTGGCAGTGTTAGGTCCCCCTTGTCCTGTGAGTGGGCATTTCACAGTGGTGGTAAGGATGCCTGAGACTTGCCATCAGGTTTCTGTGGTAACTTGGGCACAGCCATGTAATCTCTGAATCTGGCTCCTAGTGTGTCAAGTAGGGATGCTAGCCCCACCACCAGAGCTGATAGAGTAGAGATGACATTTTAATGAATAACTACAATCTTTACATTGGAAGGAGGTGGTCGTTCAACGAGGATTTCTCGCAGCTGCATCGGACTTTGGTGGAATCATTGAGGCAGAGATTCGATCTGCATACACTGTGTGCCAGGGCTGAAACAACTTGCAAAAGCTAAGCTCTACACAGACAGGAAGTGTTTTGAGGGATGGGGGAGGGGTGGGGTGGATACGCTGCCACCCGTGGCGGGAAGCCTCACTTGCCTGTGTCCACTCTGCAGGGGGCTTCTGTAGCTCTGCCCATCCCTAAATGCTCTCAACACAGCTTCTGACTACCGGTCCAATGCTGAAATGATGCCCAGAATTCTGGATTTTTTTCAGAGTACATAGCTTTCTTTTTCTTTTACTTCCTCTTAACATATCTAATTAGCATCAGCCTTGTGGATTTTAAATGAATGAAAAACACATGTCTATAAAATTATTCTATGCTTTTTTTAGAAGGTTGGCGATGTCAGCAGTCCATAAATAGAATGACAGAAACAAGAGAGTCAGGTGGTGAAGTAGCTATAGGTGGATCCAAGCACAGAACTGCAAGAACAGTGGCAAGCTCACAGCCTGCTGGCTGCTGTGTTCAAAACACAGTTCTAAGGAGCTTTCAGTCCCCATTACGTTATAGCAGCAAATCAGAAAGGCACGGAAGTGGGAGTGGGCAGAAATACTGGGTAACTGACAATGACATGGATAGGAGCCCTCAAGAGGGGAGCAGCAGGGTCAGGAGAGAGAAGGCCACAGCCGGACAGAAGAGCAAGTCAGGAGGTCCCAGGCCCAGTGAAGGTCCCCACTCATTAGCTATGAGACCCTGGCAAGGCACTTGCCTTCTTGGAGCCCACGAGCTCATCTGCAAAGTGACTTCAGCCCATTGCTCAGGGTTTCCTCTAAGCCTGGACAGAGGCTCCTCTTGTCCTAGGAGCAAGCTTGTATTCATTCTTCAAAACCAGTCTCTGATTGCCTTGGGTCCAGAGCATGCAAGACAGGAGAGGACTAACTTGTCACTCTGCCTGTTTGTGAAGAATTTGGGGTAAGCCATTTAATTGATGGCCTGCTTCTGATGAGGGTTTGTATCATCAGAAGAGCCACCCCCCCTGCCAGCTTCTCCAAGTTCTTGAGAAAAAGACTTGTAAAAAATGTAACAAACACTATTTTTTTTTAAAAAAAGTCACAAAATTAATGACTGGGGGCTCAAGCAGTAGAGCATCTGTCTAGCAAGGGCAAGGATCTGAGTTCAAGTCCCAGTACTGCCAAAAAAATTAATAGCTAACTTAAAATTTTTCAGCTTGGTCTGGGGTGTAGCTCAGTGGTAGAGCACCTGCCTAGCATGCATGAGGCCCTGGGTTTGATCCCCAGCACCAGAAAAAATAAAAAATAAAATCAGCTTTGGGAAAAGGATACAATAATTTTAGTTTGCTAGAAAAGTGCATAAAGTAGTTTAAGGAAGTATATTGTTCAAAGTGGTTAAAATAAGAGCTTTTCCCATTCATTTTAATTAGCGTATGTTAATTGTACTAAAATAAGTTTTGATGTTTTAAGGAATACATTT